ACCAGCACAGCCCTTCCAACAGACACCAGCACAGCCCTTCCAACAGACCCACACCAACCTGCGACCGCCTGCCCTCATCTCCATTTGAAATGGCAGCTGCTTGCAATGGTGCTGAACAACTGAATAAAAGCAAACACAGCTCTGCCCCCAGCCATTTCATCCTGAACACTGTGACCAGTTTTTACCCTATAAGTAAGACTTCGTGGTCACCATTTGAAGACATGCTGTCAGTATGTGTATGTACTTGGCTTATGCTTGGACAAGTGTCTTTCAAAGAAAAAAACCACGATGATGAACGTTTCACCAAAAAGAAGTTAGGATGCAGAACATTTCTGCAGGCATTCTCTCAGAGAGATAACTACTTCACCAGAGGAGTCATTTTTCAGTTCCTGCGGAGACAGGGATGGACAGAAATCTCTGGCTTTAGAGATATTCTGGTTATCCTTTGCTTTCTTTTGGAAGGTTGGTTAGGACTCTTAAGTAGAATTCACAGCCTACTGAAAATTATCACATCATTTGTAATATTGATGTTGATGTAAGCTGGCTGTAACCCTCTTGGGAGCAGCATGCATTTGGCTTCTCCTAATTCAAAGCACCAAAACTGTATAATCATTGCAGAGAGATGAGATTGATCACGCTGCTCACTATCCCAGCACAGCTAGCATGACCTCAATACAGCTATCCTACAGTTTGACAAACCCTGCTAATATATGGCCCATAAAGTACAAGCTGCTTCTGGATTTTGGAGGGAGCTCACAGAAATGTAAGCATATACTTCAAGTTCTATATTAGACTGTTGTAGTTTATTTCCTTTGTTCCTGCTTCACCTGCTCTATGTGCTGCCGTGCATCACTTCTTACTGCTTGCTTACTCAGAAGTTGAGGTTTAAGTCAGCTGTAATTAACTACTCTTCTTTACATGCAGGAAGTTCCCATGAACTTGAACAACAGGCCAGGCTTCTCAAGTTCAGTCCTGGGAAAATGAAGCTCCCAGAACACATGTGGGAGTCCCTGCTGCAGAGGCTGGTGTTGGAAAGGGCATCAGAACAAACATGTTTGCTTTGGAAAGCTGCTTTTTCAAATTTGAGTCACGAGATTTGCTTAAGAGATTCTAGGACAAGTACAATACCACAATACTGTTCAGTTGGTCAGAAACACTTGCCAAAGGTTTTCTCCAAAAGAAAAAAACTCCAGTGTTAAATCCTGCCAGAACTGCTGCACTGCAGCTTTAGTATTAGGCAACATGCTGGTAGGCCACAGAAATGCCAGATAATCTTGAGCAACGTACACGTTACAAAACAAAGCTAATGCCACAGAAAAGAATGCTTCAGAGTTGTGAACAGATTGAGTTTGACCTTTTAAGGGAAGAAAAAAGCCACCATTTGTCTCCTCTTTATGTCCATTTACACCATTTTAATGACCATCTGTGTAGTCAGTAACACATCTTATTTAATAAAGAGCATCTTAAAGTTTTGTGCTGCTTTGAATCGCTGAACATCACTGTTGCTAGACAGATTCAAATGCTATTTTAGACACTGTTCTTAAAATAGAGTCATCCCATACCAAAACCACTAAACAGCACTTAGTGCTCCCTGTAAAACAGGCATTTTCTCAATAGTCTGCTCATGCTCTGATAGCAGTGTCTCATGACTGAGCTCTTCTTTCACACGCAGAGTTTTCAGAATTGCTGAAATATCCACTAAGTTCCTCACCTGCTTTAACTTTTTCTTTTTCTCTTTCACAGATAAGTTCTTATCCTTGATGATGTTCTCCAACAGCTCTGCCACAGCAGCTTGAGAAGTAGAAACCTTTTGTTCTTCAAACTCCTGAGGGGTTATTTGTTCACAGTACGAATAGGTTGGTAATATGGCACAGATTTCTTCCCCTGGATGATTGCACTGAAATAAAAACCAAAGAAAGGGGCTTCTAAAGTCAAACAACGTCCCGCTCTGGTAAGAAGCTACCATATTTAACATCCAAACACACAGATTTACAGCCACAAGTTGCAAGGGATTATAAAGTAGCTGATGTCTATGATTGCACCAACAGCTTAATACGAGTTTGCATTTATTATGCTGTAGCTTTATCTGCAGTTCTCGTCCACCCCATAGAAGTAACAAATACTCTGCAGTCGTTTAAAGTACCTTTGCTTTCTGCTATGCCACCAACCTGAGCCATCTTCATGTGTTCTATGTGATCTTGCACTGCAGCCTGCAGGTAAGTTGGTACTTTAAATATTTCCTGCTGATGGTCCATGAGAAATGAAACTAATCGTGTAGAAAGCAGCTCGTCAAGATCCACTTCTTCTGCACAGCACAACACACAGCGAGAGAAAGTCTGTATCATCTACAAGCACGTAGCAGATCGTTAGTATGAGCAGCTGAGGGATCTGCCCTCCATTCCACACAGTGGCACAATGAATCTGCCAATGACAGCTTTCACTGCAGTCTCTCTCGCCTATGCTGACTGGTCAAGAGAGGAGGAAAACTGATTATTTCAGATGAAGAAACAAGAAACCCCCCAAACACTGTTCAATACAGAAGAGTACAAGTCCTACAGTCATATTTTTAAGAAATGCCTTTTAAAGATGGTAATAAGTCTTCCCTCCAATTGAAAAATGTATCCTATTAGCTGTCTCGAGCCACTGGGATGGCAGGTTAGGCTGGCTCTGAAGGTGTTCAAGAAATAGTGAATATCAACAATCAGTTTGAAATAACTTTTAAAAACATTTTTACAGTTTCCTTGTTTCCTTGCCTCCAGTAGCCTTACGTAGCATGTGCAGATAATGTTCTTTAATCTTACTTGGTACAAGCATTACTAACAACTTGAATCTCCCAATAAAGGCTTACTTTCAGACCCAGAAGCTGGCCTAGGAGCTTGCTAGGCAAAGTCTTCCTTTCTCTCTGGAATGGATTATGTCATAACTTCAGCTACACAAATATTTAGCCCAAGAAAGGTCATCCACAAGCACTGCTGCCAACAGTTTCTAATCTGAGATGACAGTGGATTGAGGAAGCAGACTGAACAATCACACCCTTTGGTTTTTTGAGGAGTTCCTTCCCTTCTCCCAGAAGAAGGGAAAACAACATCAGTATTTGCAACATATTAGTATGGGACAAGGAAACGCTTGCCTCAAGTTAGATTTCTGTAAATGCTTTAGAGATCAAAGATCTGTCCATTAATCACTGTTTAATTACAAGCCAGTGACACTGAAGTCCTGATTACTGCTGGTATGCTCAGCACTCGTTCAGCAGCGTTTTCAGCACAGACACACAGCAGTCACACTTCTCTCACCAAGGAACGCGTGCCCATGGCGTCGTGCAGCCGCGGCATGTCGACGTTCTCACTGATGCGAGCCATCATCCTCACCAGGAGCTGCATCTTCCTGCGGTTTGGTGGTGGAAGCAGCAAGCAGCAGATCTGCAGGGCCTCAACAGCAATCCTTTCTAAGTGAGGCTGAAGGAGACCTACAAGGTGATCGTAGTACAGATGTCATGAAGACCTGAACAAGCTCTTCAGATTGTTATTCAGTAAAAGAATTTCCCCCCTCTAATGAAGATGATCTGTGTTTGTTTCATGATCCGTGTTTCATTTTCACAGCAATCAATCAGCTGTGACGCTGTAGATCAGTTACGTGGGGGTCCCCAAATCACTTCATGGTTATAAACTGCTTGTGCAATTAGTGCCATAGTACAATTGAGGTAATAGCCTAATGCTATTTCTGAGAGCATCCCCAGAAAGCACGTTTCAAAGGCTCTAAAAAGATGTCTCCAAAGGGCAGATCTGTGCGAGTTCTCCTCCAGATGATGTTGAGGTCAGAAGCATCACTGCTTACCTGGACAGGAAGGTTCTGGCAGATCCAATTTGAGAAGCCAAAGGTAACACTACCATTTGGTAACAGAGCTATGAAAATAGTTTTAAACGCTACAACTTCACAACTCTTTCAAACCCTCATGCTATACAGATACAAAAAACCACTAGTAACCACGAAGATAGTAAGGAAGCAGAGATTAGTTAGTCAACACAATAAGCCAATACAACATGCTTGTAAAGCCATCTTACTTTGCGTGCCAGTCAACACATAAGAGTGAGCGAAAGAGCATTCTGAAAGTGCTGTGGTACTTCTGCAGAGCCTCTGACTGATGGTTACATCAGGAACCTCAGTCCTGATGCCCACTGAAGCAGCCGCTGAGGTATTTGGTCTTCCTTGCCCACAGAATTGAGACCTCGGCTTTACTGTGATTTCAGCAACGGGGGCATTGATGCTGGTGCAACTTCTGGAGTTCCTGCTCCCAAGTAAACTCTGAGACCTGCATATTTGCTTGGATTTAAGATTTTCCTTAAATAGCTCTCTATCCTGAAGAACTGAGGCAGACACTCTCTTTGAACCATCACTTCGTTTTTGGCGTGCGTTTTCACAACCAAACTCCAACACAGACTCAGTCTTAGCCACACATGGTAGCCATTGCTCCTTATTTCTTGTGCTCAAGACATTAGTTTCCCTGAGGGAATTCGATTCTCCTTTATGATGTACTCTTGAGGCAGCGTTTCCAATTCTTTCCAAAGAGTAACATCTCGTCTTCAGATTTAGAGACAGATCTTGTTCATTCCTGAAACCTGAAAGATTCTGACAACTTCCTCCTATGAGACTGCCAGCACTGCCTCGTTTACTTGTCAGCTCACACTGCTGCAATTTCCTTGCACGTTGTGTCTGAACAGCCAACTCTTCTGAAGAGGACTTCCAGGAAGCTTCATACTCCTCCTTCTTTCCCTTTGGCTCCTTGCGAAGTAGGCTTAGAAGAAGACATTCAGTTGACTTGAAGGAGTTCAAGTGAAGAATTTTTGAAGGCTGGGGGTCACAGGTCTCATCTCGGACTGAATGTTTTCCATTGCATTTATTTGGAATTGTGATGAAGCCACACATAACTATCAGAAAATGAAATATAAATTAAGATGCAAGTGGTATGAAAGCAAACATTCAGAAAGAAATGTAGTCGCTAACTGAACAGAGGACAACAAATAAGACACTAAGTAGTTAGTAAAATAAGGAAAAAATGAGCTCAATCCCCAAGCAGTCAATTGCAACCAACATGCAAGAATAAAGAATGCCAACAGACTGCAAAAGCGAGGGACAAAGATGAGCATGTGTTTTTAAATGGTTACTGAACATTTAGAAAGTTCTCTCAGATGGTGATTTGCACAGAATGAGATACAATTGCATTCCTGTTAATGATGCAATACAGAATGACAGCATTGAAGACAAGCCCCAGATTCCAGCTGCCATACAGACTACTGGGCTCATGGTTCACTTTGAGTTACAGATATGTTCTTCCCCCCACTAGATATAAACTTATAGCTTGCCCTGTTATTTCTAAATTCATACATACCCAAAATATTAACAAAAAGTTCATAGTATTCAAAAGTAAGCAATGGTTCAGGAAGATTGAGAAAATAATCAGCAACTGTTCTGAAGACATCCCGTTCAAACCCACTGTAAGTTGGCTGGCTCATATCATTATTTCTGGGCCCTAAAGAGAGGTGAAGAAAGGAAATTCAGTATTTATTAAAAAAAACAAAACAAACACAGTGTAAATAGAATTGTGAAAGCTTGTTCCTATAGGAATAACTGTGTCACAAGAGAAGAATCATAGAATCACCAAGGTTGGAAAAGACCTAAGAGATCACCCAGTCCAACCGTTCACCTATTCCCAATAGCTCCCACTAAACCACGTCCCTCAACACAACATCCAGTCTTTCCTTGAACACCCCCAGGCTCGGTGACTCCATCACCTCCCTGGGCATCCATTGCAGTGCCTGACCACCCTTTCTGAGCAGTAACACTTCCTCATGTCCAGCCTGAATCTCCCCTGCCGTAGCTTGAAGCCATTCCCCCTGGTCCTATCACTGATGACACGAGAGAAGACCCCCAGCTCACTACAACCTCCCTTCAGGAAGTTATAGAGAGCAAAGAGGTCTCCCCTGAGCCTCCTCTTCTCCAGGCTGAATCATGCCAGCAATACGCACGTGAATTGTTTAGTTCAGCACTACATCATCTGCAAGCAGAAGCAGCATCAAATACTTTCCGTATCCACCGAGTTCTGCTCACTTTCCACAGGCTGTTCTGCCCCACTGCGCTGAGTGAAAACTCACTCACCCCTTTAAACAGTCCTCATCCAAACAGTCACATATACTGAACGTTTCCCTTCATCTCTGAACTACAATAATGCTGATCTTCCCACAGAGCTTGAAAATGAAATTCACAACTGATCTTAACATGCTGGAATATTTCACTTTCAACTCCCACGATAAGTTTCTGGAGCTTAAAAGCTTTGCCATTACTCACAGTAGGCGAGGCACTTCATAGCTGACAGCACCCAGTGAGGGAGGTCTTCTAAAATAAATAAGTGCATTTGTTATACAAAATACTGAAGACCTGATGCAAACAGTAACATGCAGGCTTTAAATACTGTAACCACATTAGTTTGAAAGTGAGTCTACTTACAAATACTACTATGCATACGTACTTACAAAGTAATGTAACTCACCTACAACATTTTCTAGACGAGCAAACTGAGATGTATTCTAATTTAGAGAAGGAAATGTAAAAGCCTCACTATGAAATATATTACCATAGTCAATTCCTACCTTGCTGTAACTGTATAACCCAGAAACTTTAAGCAAAGCTAGGAGAATCTTACCTGATTTGTTCTGCAAAATTACAACACCGTGTTTGCTTGTGTGTGTCATATTGTATATGACGTGCTCAGGAACTATCTGTGTTGGCTGCAGAACTGCTTCCAAGGATGGGAGGCCTAAAATGGTTTGCAAACTGTAGAGAGAAAGAAAACAGATGCTGTTTAAGAAGCCTGTTATAAAAAAAAAAAAACAAAAAAAAACAAAAAAATTAAAACAAAAACAAACCAAACAAGATCTTAGCATCTATTCAAACAAGAGCTGTTTGGTAAGTTGATTTGCAGTTTGGTGGAATCTCTCATGCAGAAGAGTTTGAGGGCACACTTGTTGAGACAAGCACCAAAAAACAACGGACAGGGAGCAGAAAAAACAGCTGTTGGGTTAAAATATAACTCAAACAATAAGGTTCTTAGGTACAAAAGATGTTAGAAAATACATTGGAAAGCATATATAAATAATAGTAAATATTCACCTTTATTCTTTAGAAGTTCAAGAGTTTGTAAGTGAAACCCTTCACTGGGCCATGACAAAGAGCATGCATACCACAGGAAGGGAAGGCACTTTTTGCATTCCTTACTTACTGTATCAGAATGATATTTCTCCAAGTTTCTTGCACGCATTCCTGGCTTACTTCCTTCCTGCACTGTGCATCCTCTTCGTTTTCTGCTGTTTTATCCAGCTTTGTTTTCTCCACATTTTCCTGAAAGTGAGTGGTTTATGCATGTTATACTGAAAGAAAGGGAGCCCCTAAGAGAAATAAACACCTCGCTTCGTGAAGAATTAAATTCCAAAATATGATTCAGCAAATGACCTTAATCACGTCAGCACTGAAATGCAAGCATATGCACTTGGAAAGCCAAAACCAACACTGTGCATAAAGACCTTGTGTGCAAGCCCTTCAGGAGACAGTAACTTAAAGGGTAGAAACACATAAAATTTAAGTATATTAGTCAGCAAAGAGCCTGTCTTTAGGACCACAAAGTATGTGCACTAAATAACCTGAAAAACAAAAAATGGCCAAGCACATTCAAAGTTTTCTAAAAAAGCCAGCAGAATAGTTAGCAAATTTGTGCCTTTTATTGGTCCTAAATGAAAAGAACAAATCTAAAGTTTCACCGAGAACATATTGCTGCTTGTTTCTAGAGTTCCACATTCCAGCATTCCCAATGCTTTGAAATATTATAAGCAGGGATAATTCTGCACTGAACAAGCCAAAATGAACAATCAATAAGAAAGCAAAGTTTCCCATATTGATGGGATTAGATGCTCGAGTGCTGGAACGTAAACTCAATTAAAACTCCACTTCATGCCAGATCATTCAGAAGCAGATCCAAGACTGCGACTTGTGGGGTGGGGGGCAAGTCATCTTTCTCTGCACTTAGATTACATGCCAGCGCTAAGAACACTCTCCTCACATTTTCCTGCCAACAAACCTGTTGCCATTAAATTGAGGAAAAGACAGCTTCATGTAAGGAGTACTTAAAGTTCTTCCGCCAGAAGCACAATCCTGCATTTCAGAAATGCTGCACTGCAGTTGTGCCTGCTGCACATAACCTACATTCCTGCACGTTTTACATATAGGAATTTCACTTGAATATTTACTGATTGTTTAACACAACCTTTTTGTACACACAAGAAGAACAGCTTCATCACATCACTTCATTACCAAACAGAACTGCATCTTCCTGTCAAACCTATGTGAATGCTCTGTACTGCTGACCAGAAGAACCTACCAACTTACTGCTGCACTGACATGGGAATGAGACACAACCGTGTCCCTACAGGATGACTGCTACCAGCTGTGAAGGTTTTTTGGTTTGTTTTTAAAAGACAAAGGAAATGTGTGGTAGCTAAGGTTAGGTAAGAAACGTGCTACTACCAGAGCTCTCAGCAATTCGTGTTTTTTCGGAGTTCTCCTTGATAAATGTGGCAGCTTAAGAAGTCTGTCTCTAGGGAAGGTTCCTAAGTTTTCATTTTGGCGACATGAAGCTGGTAGAGGTTTAACTGGAGAGGTTGAAGGAAACCTGGAATTAATAGGAAAGATATTAAGTGCATTTAGAATACATTAAAAAAAATATAAGCAGTCGTTTACCTGAAGCCATACCTTACCAGCACGATTTGACACGTTTCTCAGAAGATTCAGGGAATTAAAATTGCTGAATTAAAATTAAATTAAATTTTTCTTTTCTCCTTATAACACTGATTAACATAATCATTTTATAAAGTATACTCTGGCCTATTCTTAATTCCAAAGTCAAGTTGGAGATGGCTGAGCCGCTTACACAGCGCTAAGATCAGACTCAGAGAAGTGATGGCCATCAGCACTGCAGCACAGAGCTACTCTAATAAATTTGCTTTGGGTTCCCTCTGAAGCCCTTCCATGGAGCACCCACGTCAAGGTAAAAACTGGATAGACAGAAGCATGAGCACAGCTTTCAGTAAGCAGGGTATATACTCAACAAGACAGTTGAGGAAAACTCTGTTAATAATTGCTTTTGACGCAACTCTCATCCTGAAGTGGGGTGTTTTAGTTTTTTAAAATAATTCTGAACATGGAATAAAAGATTCTTTCCCAAGGAGGCTGTGGATGCCCCATCCCTGCAGGCATCCAAGGCCAGGCTGGATGTGGCTCTGGGCAGCGTGGGCTGCTGGTTGGCGACCTGCACACAGCAGGGGGTTGGAACTGATGAGCGTTGTGCTCCTTTGCAACCCAGGCCATTCTGCGGTTCCGCTGGTTCTCAGTGCAGTACCTGTATAGCGCACCATTGTCTTCGAGGCTTTCTGACCCCCACCTTCCTTTAATATCTTCAATTACGTGATTCTTGAGGAACTTCCTTAGCAGCTGGACAGTCTGCTGCCTGCTCACTTCAGGCCCGAAGTTGCTGTTGTTCCTCAGCGCTTCGTGCAGCCAATCTGCAGCTTCGGAGGCGGTGAAACAGCTGCCGTGCTTTCTGAAGTGCTGCCTGTGCGTCCTCAGCGGCACGCCGGCTCGGAAGTACCTGGTGATTTCATTCCACTGCACAGGAGACAAAGCGACGGGGGACAGGAGGTTAAAGCTGAAAGCTGATAGTAATAAACGGCAATAAGACAAAGCGGCAGAAACAACCACAGGAGCAAAATGAGGTTAATACGTCGCCGCCAACGCGGCACGCCCCTCCCCACAGCCGTGACAGAGGCCCACGAGGCCCATCGGCGGCCCAGAGCCCAGCCGGCCACCCCCTCCCGGTGCCGCCGTCCTCACCAGCTCGGTGGCACGGTAAGGTCCCGGCGCTGCCGGGCGGCGCTCCATCGCTGACCCCGGGGCGCCCGCCCGGACCCGGCCCAACCGCCGCACGGTTTGAATTTGCTGCGCGGCCACTGATTGGGCGAGCGGGGAGGGCGCGCGCCGAAGGCGGGCTGCAGCGCCGCCTCCAGGAGGAGGCGGGAGCGGCACCTCCCCTCAGGGCGGCGCGGCGGGTGGAGAAGCTGTGCGCGCAGCCGGGCGGCGTGGGTCGCTGCTTGTGGTTCGTGGGGCGGCGGTTCGGGCAGCCCAGTGGTATCGGAACTCTCTCCTCCGCCCCCGCAGGGCGGCATCTCAGCGAGTGTGACGGGAAGCTGAAGGAAGACAAAGTTTTGAACCAGCAAGCGCCGCAACTGCGCAGCTTTCAACGCGCGGACCGAGCGATTGCACGCAGCCGCCTGTAGAGGCGCTTGTCACCATTCCCGTGCTTCAACGACCGACCGCCTGCTCGTCCAACAAAATCACTTGATGAGCGGCTGCCCGGGCAGAAAGTGGCGTCGGTTTTTGCAGTGACCCGGGCTGTAAAGCTGCTCGAGCGCACAAACCAATGCTCTGAGCGTCTCGGGGAAACCTCCATGAGTAAAGCCTGCAGGAAGCGGCGAGCACAGCCCTTCCGATGCTGATCGCTTCTATATTCCCACTTTTAGCCCATTTTGAAACATACCGTGCTTGATACATTTGCATTCAATGCATTTTGTGAAACATAGATCGAGTAAAGAGGCTTGGGATTCACCTCAGGAAAGTACAGCGAGAGGGATGGCTGGGAGACACTGGGTCCTTCACAGCTGTGGGCAGGGCTGCGCTGTGCGTAATTCCCTCGGAGATGAAAACTGCAGTCCTTCCTGCTTTACAATGCAGTTTCAAGCCTGCTGTTGCCTGTAGGTTTCCCTGCTTGGAGACAAATGTCTGTGCAGAGGCAGATCTGCCGTGTTTCTGTCAGTGCGCGGTCTGAAGGCGAGGAGCTTGCTGGGAAATACAAGCAGTCTTTTAGAATAACGAAACAGTACTTCTGGGTCACTACAGATATTCCTAAAGCCAGTTTTACGAGTTCACAGTGAGCTTTCCTTACATTCCAGTTGTCTTTATCTCTTTTTTCTCATTGGAGAGGCATACAAATACCGGCCCAGCCGAGCTGCAGGAGGGCATCGGGGCAACTCCGCATGTGAAGCTCTGCAAAGCATGAGGTAACGACATGGGAACAGAGAGCGCTGTTCCCTTTCCCCTCAGCCTCCTTCATAACTGATGTTGGTGTTGTCTGCCACTGGTTATGGTAGAAAGCAGAACAGAAATGAGTGGAGTTCATTTAAAACGTCAAGGTCGCGGCTGTCCCTCCGGCTCACTGGTACGGTGTGTTACTGCACAAAGAGGTCTGTGCTCTAAGTCTTCCTTTTTCTGGTTTTAAACATAGGAATGAAGCTAATTAGAAACTCTTATTATTGATCTGCTGATGTTTAGTGCAGCTGGATTAACGTCCCTGCCCGCGAGTTCAAATAGAAGGCGATGTTAAAGCGTGAAGGAATAGATGGTGGAGACTGCTGGTGGTAACGAAAGCTTTCAGCATTTGTCTCTAAGGAGTACAGATACATAATGCATGTGATTGTGGGGACAGGGCAATAAGTAGATCCAATGTCAAGTTTTAATTTGCATCTCTGCCCCTCCACTAACAGCACCTTCTAACTGCAAAGGCTAGCCCCCATTTAATTGCTTTTGTTATCATGTGTAGAAGCAGTAGAGCCTGAAAAGCCCATAGCAGTGCCTAAACTGTCAGTGAACAGTGTGTGTATTTACTTGACCAAGCCTATCTTTAACTGTTACTTAGAACAAGATGCTCCAGAAGAAAATATATTACCCTTGGTTTTCCCTTCCCTCCCTCAAAGCATTTGCTTTTATTCAATTTGGAAACAGACACCGGGTGTGTGTATGTTTCATTTTGTATAAATGCTTATATATGCATGCAGTTTTAGGTAGTATCACAGAATTGTGTAGTGTGGAGATGACACCTTCCAAAAGTCACCCAGTCTGGACTTTCACTCAGTGAATTGATGAGGACCTTGGCCAGTCAAGTTTTGAATATCCCAGGGATGGAGGTCCCACAAACATTCTGGGCTCCTGCGTCTGTTTGTCTGCCCTCCTGGGAAAGGTGTTCACGTAGAGTCAGAACTGATGCTGCTTGTCCTTCCATTGTGCACTCTGACAAGAGCTGGCTCCCATGAGATGGCTGCAGACAGTAGCACAATGTCTTCATACTGAGCAAACCCACTGTCTCAGCTTCTCATATGTCATTGTCTGGTCCTTTTACAAGAGCGTTAGATGATTTGTTCCTAAAGTGAGGGGTTACACAGTAGAGCTTCATGGTATGGAAAAAAAAGGGCATTTTCAACCCACTCAACTGAACTGAAGTCTTTTTCATGTCTTGTGAGACATGCAGCAGAGATCTGATTTCTCCAAAGCATTTGCTGCCTACTCCACTTTTGTCACTTCTGCTTTGTCATTGTAAGTCATGCAAAGTAAGCTAGACTGAACCTTTTTCTCCATACAGTTTTTCCCATGCCTTCATTCACTTCTATTTCTTTTTTCTACGCTCTCGTCCAGTGTGCTGGATGACAAAGACAATACTCAGTTACTCCAGACTAAATTGAATCCCTGTGTTGGGTGAGTTTTCAGAGCGTGCTGAACTCCTTTCTGTCATTCCTTACCTGAGTCCCTGCACATTCAGTGCTGTACCAGCTATTCTGCTACATGCTGAGCAAAAGAGTCCTCAACGATGGACGTATGCACACAGGTAGCGCAGTACTGAGAATGATGAAGACCCCTCATATTATCTATGAATGTTCTTTTTTAACTCAAGTTAAATTCTTGGGTTACAGATAGGTGAGAAGTACAGCCTTCCAAGATCTGTCAGAATGGGCTGCTGTAGGCGGGGGCTCAGAAGAAGAGTGGGGCAAGGAAAGGAAGGCCTGAGGGGCTGCTTCTGCTCTGCAGGAGGCTGGGAGGGAGTGGCCAGAATAAATCCTGCCTCTGGGTTCTGGCTTTTCATGCATGTCTGTTCAAATTTTGAGTTTAAGGGGACAGTTTCTATCCTTACAGTGTGCAAAACAAACCTGCCTAAGGCTTAGTGAAATGAAACAAAAAGCACAAAGATGCTTCATGCTTGAAAGATGCGTGCTCCCCAAGTTGCTCAGCTGTCCTTTGTATGTGACTTGGGTCCCAGCTGCAGTGTGTTCTCTGTGATGAGGCTGGGGTCACTCCCAGGTGTGTTGGTCAGCAGAAGTAATAAAGACCACACAGCTTAGCAGCTGCTCTCATTCCTGGTTCTTGCTGGTAGTTGCTGAGGTCATTGCAGCACGTGATGTCCATTGGAGGGCTGTAAACCTTCTCTTCAACCAGGTAGGGTGAATGTCTCTCAGTTCTTTCTCTTGTCTGGGTGCTTTTTCTCCTGGATGTGCTTTAAGTAGCTATTCTGTTCTGAATTATAAAAATACAGCAATGTTCTGTGGAAGCTGTAGAGAGGAGTCATGAAGTCTTCAATAATGTTTGTTTTTATGGTTATGCAATCTCTTAGCTTGTAGGAGTTTCATTTCTTTTGTGTTTTAAAGATGTAAACTCTTCTTAATGCTGGCTCAAATGAAGTTGTTAACAAAATGCTCTTGATGCACTTCAGGAGCTGAAGCAACAATCAAGGAGCACTTCCTTATTAATATTAACATTAATTGCTACAAAAGGGACAAAAGAATCTTTCAAGTGGATGGGAGAATTGTGCTTAACTCATGAGCATCTGTACCACAAGTAGTCATGAAACAAATGCTAGGGTGCTGTGTGCTGAGAGTCTTTTTGCAAGAGGTCCTTCATGTACCAGATACGTGCAAACAACTGCAGAGGGCATGAAGCTGTGTGATCTTTGGATTTCCAGCACCACTGAGCTCAGAGCTCAGCTTATTGGGGTTAGTTCCAAGTATGATTTCAAAGTCTTGTGGAAATGTTTAATCTATAATTAACAGCTGGTGCTTGTAACCATCTTAGGGGAAGGCTGCGAGCTTAGTGAAAACCTATTTTATTTTTAATAGGCTTCAGAGGTACCAAGTACAAAAGTGACATTGCTATCTATTTCAGTTACTATGCTTGAGATGATTAAGCACTGATACTGTGTGCATCTGAAGTTCTAGTTGTAAATAAAGTCTTTGCAAGTGTAGGCATGAAATGCTTTGGGTTCAAGCGATTAATGCAGATTGTTTAAGGCCTGAGGTATTTTTGAAGTAATCCTAAATGAGGACTCTCTCGCTTTGCCTTTCATATATCATTTATATAACCTCCTGCCAAAGGTTCTGTATATACTGGATCATGATATATTAATCAACTCATGTGCTTTTTCCCTAGTTGTTTGGCTGAAGGCTTAATTAAATGGTGCTGGTGAAGGCAGTCAGCTGGGTGTGCTTCTTGTTAGCTCAGCTCCACAGGAGGAGCGCAGAGCTGCTTGCTTGCTTTGCTCTGCAGGGCTGTGGGGTCCAGCCTGCCTTGCTGAGGCACAGAAGTACCTAAATATCAGGTGCCTACTGCAGCCCTGTATGGTCCTGGGGAAAATACAGCCTGTATGGGGAGCAGAAATTACAGAGAAAAGGGCCGTAGGTGGATGCTGATGTCTCCAGCTGGAGCTCCCTGAGCTGCTGGTGGCTGCCTGGGGTTCCTCCCCGGGGGCTCAGTGCCTCGTGCACCTGATGCCTGTGTGCAAGTCAGGCATGCGCGCGTTTTCCCCTTGGGCTTCTCAGCTGGGATAGGAGTAATCGTGGCCAGGTGTGGTTGCAGGCATTTCAAACTGATGTGCAGATCTGTTGATTTTCCTACCCTGCAGTGTTCTCTTTTCTTTTCGTAGCATTTAAATGAAAAAAAAAAAAAAAAATCAGTTTTGATACATCTCTTAAATGTTCTTTGGTTTATGCACTCCACAAACCAAGTTTTCCAGAAGTAGTGAGATGCGTGGAGAGGCTTTAAAATTCTCAGCCATCTGGGGTAGAAGAGCTG